AATTATTTGATGAGACTTCTTATACCAAGACCTTTAGTTGCTTGGGATACATAACTGAACTATAGGGGATTAAACTTTTCTTTTTGCAGTACTAATGTTGATCAATTGGTACTATATATAAAGTATTATCAAAGGTTTTTGAGCTCGTCAAGTCTCAAAATTCATTCATCTTGATAAAGCTGATGATTTGAAATTGTATTATCAGGTATTGTGCGATATGGAGTATGGTAAAGAGTTCATACTCTGCGAGTATAACAGAGATGCTGACTCATATAGGTAATTGATTAATTGCATGTATCTAAATGGTTTTGGTGATATTGAATGGCATCAAAATTCGTAGAGGATTCTGCCCATACTGTCATTTTGAAATAACTTATTTAAGATTTCTTTGCCTGCACAAATATAGATTTCCACAGCTCATCATGTGATAGAGATGATTGCAATATTTTCATGAATTTGAATTGCTTGGTACGAATTCCACTTTCTGTGTACACGTCCTAATTTTTGTTATAGCAGCATCAAACCATTTAAATGTTGGTTTCCTTCATATTTATCTCTTGTTATTTGTTCCTCATAAGGTGCTATATTCATATTTGAAATTTGTCTGTACCCGTAACTCCACTGAAATGGTATCTTTGACTCATCAGAAGCCTTATATCTGGTAACTTTTGCCAGACGTTTACACCATGTAGCATCTTACCATGGTACCTCAGATGATCCTCTATCACTGAGTAGTCAAAGCTTGTGGGACTCAATGCAACAAAATGCTTCTCCTAGTCTATATCACCTTCTTAACCGTTCAATTATGAAACAGTTAAACTCTTCTTAGAACATCTGGTAAATTGGGACTTGTTATAATTGTCTCCGATTAGGATTTTGTGTTGTAGTTTTTTGCTGCCTTTTAGAAATAATATTGTTTGATTTGTTAAGATGAGAATCATCTAAAGAATGAGCCTGATGACATGCATGTGCACGAAGAATTTTGGCCTAATTGGTCTTAGTTTATCTGCTTATATCACTCATTCTCTTTGTCTGATTTCCTGGGGTGCTGGACTCTCCATATGTTGGACCATAAGAATACCCTCCTAGTACGAGAGCTCTTGATTGTTTTAGAGTTAGCTAACCATATAATGACATGGTAGTACAGCCAATTTGTGTATATCAGGTGTTTTTTTTGGAGGGTTGGCCAGCTAGCCAACCCTATGAAAATTCCACAAATTATGTCGGCCGTATGTCTTGATATCCATACGGCACTCACCTCTCGGGCGAGTGGCATATTTACCCAACCGACCCTTTTTTTATCAGGTGGTTTGAATAAGCTTAACACAGTCGGATTACATGTTTGGCTAGTTTAGTTGTTTTCTACTGCATTTCAAGATTACCAAGCTTCAAGACATATAAAACACATAATTCCTATGCTGCATTTGATATCTGTAACTTTGGTATTTTTTAACTTGTAGGTCTCCTTGGTCCAATAAGTATCATCCACCATTAGAAGATGCGCCTCAACCTTCTCCAGAGCTGAGGAAACTTGAGGTTGAAGCAAATGAAGTTTTTGCTATCTATCGTGACCAGTGAGGTCCCTTATTTACCTCGTCTTTTCTTCTTCCTATGCAATTGTATCAACTTAATCTTGTTCACGTATTTCATTCAGCTCTCCTTTAACTTCAGATAAAGCCTAGGACATGTCTTTCAGATTTTTCAAATTCCTGGTTTCATGTTAACCTATGATTGGAATAGCTAATAAGAGATCATCAGTACTAGTTTCATCTCTTGGTTAGTCAGAGCATTTTCTGCAGTTTCACTGACCAAAACACTGTTAGGTACTATGAAGGTGGCATCTCATCAGTTTATATGTGGGAAGATGAAAATGAAGGTTTTGTTGCTTGTTTCTTAATAAAGAAAGGTAAATTCTGTTTTGCATTTCCAATAACAAGTGTTATCTTTTCTGCTTCTAATTTGCAATTTTTCTGGGGGATGTAGATGGCTCCAAGTCTGGACATGGTAGAAGGGGGTATCTCCAGGAAGGAGCCTGGGATGCCATACATGTTATTGAGGTATTAGCACCTTAAGAAAGAGAACTTCTTTGGTCATCTCTTCCTTCTCTCGTTTGTTCATCTAATGAGCATGGCTTAAGATTGTTGTAAAATCGTTCAGGTGGGACCAGAGGAGGAAGGAATTGCCCAATACTGCTTGACTAGTACGGTGATGCTGACCTTGACTACAGACAATGAGTCATCAGGCTCGTTCAATTTGTCTGGATCAATTAGAAGACAGGTATTTAATGGATGGTATTGCAGTTTTCTTTGGGTAAATAAAAGATTTTTATTACCAATTGCATTCTGTACTAGTAAAAGAAACGGCAGATTGACATCTCCAAAACTGCAGCGAGAAACTACCTAATATAACACCAAGCACTACCAAAACAACTGAGCTACCAGAACTACATTATCCAGTGTAAAAATTTAACTTGTCAAGTCTCTTGGTTAGCCTGCTCCTCATGGATCGTCTGTAAAAAAACTTCCTGAATGATTCTCCTGAAAATTGTCATTGGGTCTGTTTGCTTATCTTGAAATACTCTTAGGTTCTTCTCAATTCAAATATGATACGAACAAGCAGCCAGTGTCATTCTGTATATTGCTGCAGTTAAGCTTCTTCCTCTAGCATGATCTTAAGCCCATCTAACTCCTCAGGCCATGACATAGTCGCTCTGCTAATTTCCTGCCAATGCAATAGTTTGTTCCATACTTGTGCAGAAAAATCACACTGAGAATGAATAAGCTATGCTTTCCAGTTGTGTTGTACACAGTGGGCACCCTTGGTCAGTAATAACACCCCAGTGCATCAAGCTATCCTTTGTAGCCATTCTTCCATGAGCTGCTAGTCTAAGAATAAAAATTCACTTGGCAGATCCAAGGTTATTGCGGACTAGCTTTCTCCATTGGACTTTACGGAATTTTCCTCTCATACACACATACATCTTTTTGACTGAAAAGTCTGTCATATTTCTGAGCTCTGCTATTGCTGTTATATAATGCTTTGCTTGTTAACGATGTACAGAAATCAAGAGGATAAGGGGTCTGAAAATTCCTTCATCCATCTCTTGAGTAAAAAAGACAAATGCAACACTAGGACTACCAAAGGGGGGCACCCATTCTAATATCACTCTCGCCCAAACACGTTTAACTTCACAAGTTATCTGAATACCATATCCAATTTGGTCCAAAAATGCAGCAGCATATTTCCCTTCATTCCTTGTGGAGGAAGAAAGATGGGTATGCTTGATTATCTTATTTGAGCGATGCGACAATAGAAAAAAGAAAAAAGAAAATGAGAATTCCTTGAATTGGTTATGGACAATATACAAGAGGAATCCTTATATAGGTGTTTAAACTGCTAGAAATAAGGTAAGCAATTGTCCTATAATTAAATGTAGAATTCTCTACCATGTAACATTCTATTACTTAAATTTTATGAATCTACAATGTGTTCTGTAAACAGAACGGACCTTGGGCTTAATTCATCCCAAAATTAACCTTATAAGGTGAGGATTGCCCAAGGGGATTCAACAGTTTATTTAACCTTATAAAGTGAAGATTCCCCAAGGGGATTCAACAATTTGTATATAACACTAGAATCTTCCTTTATGTCAAGGGGATTCAACAATTATATATAAAAATTCATTTTTGCCCTGTTTACACAATATAATTTTCTGGCGAAGGTGATTCAACCAAACTACCTTGCCACAACCTAGTTCTGCCCCTGAACAGATTCATCCATTAAACTGATCACTGCAAGTCCTTGTTGATTCAAGACTCTTTTCTTGATTGTTAGTGTCTTTCCTAATTGTTCCTCCTTTGCATGAATAGATGAGTATGAAGCTCTCTGTCTCAGATGGTCATCTGTGTAACATGGGAAAGATGATTGAAGAGATGGAGGGTAAGCTGAGAAACTCCTTGGATCAGGTAAATGTCTTTCCTTTTGGAAGTTCTTTTCCTTTTGCTTTTTTCTTTGAAATATTTATGGTTTATTTTGCTTTGAGGTGGTACTAATTAGTTCATCCTAAATCTTGGTAATTATGTGAACAAATGACTTGCGCCTCTTTGTCATTCTCCCTTGATGTGAGGCACATTTCTCACTGGAAAATTGCTTAGTTGGCAGTGAAAGGTGAAGGAAAGGGTGTTATCTGGGTATGAGCGTAGGGTAAATCGTGGTTCATGTAGCAAATCGCACTCTTTGTTATTTTTCCTTGATGGGAGGAATATTGCTCACTTGAAACTACCTTGTTGTTTTTCATACTTTGAAAATGCATAGTCGGAAGCAGAAAGGAGTAACGAAGGGTGTTATTTGGTAGTAAGTATAGTTAGGGGAAACCGTGGTTCACACGGAAAAGAGTAAATTGGAATTTACCCAAACTGGAAGAGTCTCAAAGAAGGCGCTTCAGTCTTTGCTAACAATAGACCACCTTTCCATTGTCTTTTCTATATTACAAAATAGACCGTGAAATTGAGTCCAAACCCTGCTTAAACCTGCAGGTATATTTTGGGAAGACAAAGGAAATGGTTTGTACTCTGAGGCCACCTGCTGAACTGGTGACATTGCCGGACAGCTGAAATTTGTTATTTCTTGCCTTTTCTGCTGGGTGTTTCTGTAAACCTTGGTTTGCTTCCATATGTCACAGGGTTGTGGTTCAGTGCTCATTAAATTGATAACTGAGTGTATCATATCATATTTGAGTCAATTACTAGTTGTAGATTGTCTGAAAATGTCTCCTCACTTTTCTTTAACATATGGATTATCATACAAATTAATTTCGTCAAGGGCCTATTTTGGATCCATGAGGAGACGAGGATTGATTGATCTAAATGAAGTACTTGATTATATATAGGAGAGACATTCTCATGCCCTGATACTGCCTTGTGGAAACCCCGATAGAACAAAGTCTCTTTAGTTTGGCTCTGTCCTAGCTAGACTCTCTTCTTTTTAGTCGGCGTTTAGTTTAATGCTGTCACAAAAATTCGAGATATTTCTCAAGCATGCATGGAGTCAGCGTCTAATGCTGTATCGGATTATTGTGCGTTTGAGGAAAATAAATAAATAAATATGTTCTAACATGAAAATGTGTCTTATTGAACTGTTTGATAAAGTTATAGAATTACTTTTACTTGTATATTAAGTTTTTGGTGTTAAAAGAACTTTTAGCGAAAGTTTGAAGCTTATGAAATTACTTTTAAGCTGAAATTTTGATACCAAGATATATGACCGTCCAACTTGTTTCAACAAAATTTGTCTTCTTATCAGGTCAAAGCTAAAACATTTTAATTTTCAAACCAATTAACAAAAGGGAAAATTTCATATTAAAACAACTGGGCTGCCTACTTTTCATCTTTATAGAACATATTTCAATTTACAATTGAGTAGCCCAAAAATAATAGGCCCATATTCGAAAAAGGGGCGTTATTTTCGTTTTTGGTATTCAGAAGCGGGATTTTGTATCTTTCAGCGGGGATTTTCTCTTATTCTTTCCATTCTTCTTTCCCAGATCTACAAAAACGTGATCTTACAGTCAATGCAACTCCAAAAAACTTAGAAATTCTTCTTCATCTCGAATTAACAGCAAATCGAACACGAAAAGTGAATTTTTTTCTGCAATCAGCGTGATTTTCATTTTTGTTGCAATTTTGATTTCAACTTTTTGTTCTATGGAGCTTTTTCCAGTTTACGTTTTTCATAGTGGTGAATGGGAAGGCAACAAGTTTATCAATTTCGTTAGCAATTGTGTAATAATCGAGTGGACATTCAGCTCCAACAATTTAGTTGAAGCTAATTCGAAACAGATTAGAATCGATTGTGAGTTAAACACATTAGAGATTAACTTGCTCCCAAAGGATGGTTTGCCGCCGATCCTGATTTACAACGATACAAGTGTTAAGGTGTATATCGAATTAAAGAAGAAAAACTTGAATTTCACTGAATACCCGTTGTATGTGACTGTGAAAGAGAATTATGATAATCGTTTGGTTGCTACAAGTTTTAGTTGTTTGGTTGCTACAAGTTCCAATTGATAGATGTATCCACAATTATAGCACTGAGATTATGCATGATATCGAATTTATTGAAAACACGGGTATAATAGATAATATGTTAAATGAATTTGTTGAGGAGGATCAAGTTTATAAAGATAAAGAGACAGTTGTCAGTGTGATGAAGAACTTGGCTGTACGCGAGCGGTTCCAATTCAAGGTGAAGAGATCAAGCGCAACAAGGTATGACAATAGTTGTATATTCTATTATATATATGTATAAATATGTATAAAGTAGTATATATTTGTATATAGGTATTAAAATTAGTATATATCTAGTTATGTTTTTGTATATAAGTGTATTTAGAAGTTGAATGATCTTTAATCCTAGGTATCACCTTATGTGTGTGGATGACAATGGTGCTTGGAGTTTCAAATCTTCTGCCGTTTACAAGGCAAACATATTCAAGGTGAGAAGTTACAATAATAATCACACATGCGGCTACGATGAAAGATACTTAACACAACGTCAAGCTACTTCGGGTGTAATTGCTAGTATAATCAAGGACAAGTATGTTAATCCAAAAAAGGTTTACACCACAAATGATATAATAGAGGACATACAAAAGCAATACGAGGTTGAAGTGAGCTACATGAAAGCATGGAGAGCTAAAGAGATAACAATGACAATGATAAGAGGGAATCCAAACGATTCATATAAGGAGGGTCCGAGGTATTTGTATATGTTGGAGCATGCAAATCCAGGAACGGTTACAAAGTTGCACAAATCAGAAGATGGATGCTTTCTTTATGCATATGTTTCGCTATATGCATCTATCAAGGGTTGGGAGCATTGCAGACCGATAATGGTTGTTGACGGAAGTTTCCTTAAAGCAACATATAAGGGTACCATATTGACTGCTTGCACACAGGATGAAGCTGGTGAGTTGACTGCATCTACCTTTCTTTTTACAGTTTGTATAATATTATAGTTTCATGTATAAACGTGTGTAGGATTTCAGAGCTGCTGTTTTTATAAAATTTGCAGTATGTATAAAGTTGTATATTCATGTATAACTGTGTATAAGATTTGTATAATTGTCTGAATCCTAATATCTATTTTGTATAAACAGGAAAAATCCTTCCACTTGCATATGCAATTGTAGATTCAGAGAATAGTAAATCTTGGGAGTGGTTCTTCGTCCAGATAAAGGCTGTTTTTGGTGTTAGGGAAGGGATGTGTATAGTTTCAGATAGAAATGAAAGCATTTTCAATGCCACAAAAGCTGTGTACCTAGAAGTTCCACATTGTATTTGCATGTTTCACTTGTGGCAGAATGTCAAGCACACATTCAAGAAACATCACAAACAATTGAAGGGTATCTTCTTCGCTTTGGCTAGAGCTTACACGATATAGAAGTTTGACTATCATATGACAGACATGTGCAAAATTGATTCGAGGGTGCAACCTTACTTGTTTGAAATTGTCTACGAAAGGTGGTCTAGGGCATAGTCCAAAGTGAAAAGGTCGATGGTAATGACTTCCAATATTGCAAAGTCAATTAATGCAGCAAACAAAGATGCTATAGAGTTACCAGTTATGCGATTGCTGGAGTACATGACAAATTTGCTACAACAATGGAATAACAAAAAACAGAAAAAGTGCAATAGAGACATCTATAGAGCTTGGCGAAAAGTACGACAAACTCATACGGGAAAATCTGATTGCATCGGAGCAAATGACGGTATAACGAATCAAATATAATGATGCATGGCACTGCTGACTTGCATTTTACTGCTTGTATAAGGATGTATAACTCTGTATAATAATGTATAATGTGCTTTAACTTCTTTTTTTTAAAAAAAAAAGCTTTTGCAGGTGAGGCTTGCTACGGAGCATTTATATATTGTGCTTGAAGGGGCAAGGCGAAACATAGTGTGCCTTGAAGAGGGAATATGCAGTTGCGGCAAATTTTAAATGGATGAACTTCCATGTCCGCATGCTTGGGCGGTTTTGAAGAACCAGCAGCTGAAACCTGGCCAGTATTGCTCTTTTTACTACAAGAAGGATAACCTCCTTAGAACTTATGAATTTTCAGTGAATCCAATGCCAGATGAGAGTTTATGGGTAATCCCAAAAGAGGTGCTGGAAGATGTGGTCCTACTACTTAAAGGGAGAGAAATGCAAGAAGGCCAAGAAAGGAAAGACTCAAACCTGCTTGAGAGAAAGAGTTTAAGATGGCGTTTTCATGTTCTGTGTGTGGACAAAGTGGTCACAATAGAAAAACATGTAGGATTCGACCAAAATATATAGTTGGAAACATAACACTTCCTATTACATATGTTGTCATATTGAGTAGTTAAGTTTCACAAACAATAGAGTTACAAATGTTGAGTAGTTAAGTTTCACTAGCAATTGAGTTACAAATGTCAATAAAGAATTACAATTTACATTATATGTTGCAATTATGTTAAATATGTTTCATTATACATGTTTTGATTATCCAATAATAGTGTGTTGTTGTTATTAATTGTGCTAAATATATTGATAGATTGTACAAATGCAAAACAAAACTGTAAACAATCAATGTTATTATATGTATACAGATGTATAAATGAGAGTATAAGTTTGTATAAAATTGTAAACTATGTATATTATTGTATACATATGTATAAACCCTGCAACATTGACAAACTGCAACAATAACGAAAATACATACTTTGTTAAAGGAAAAAACAACTGAAATATTCATTAAAATGTAATTCATTCACAGCCACAATGTGTAATGACTACTACAAATTACACAAAAATAAAATCATCTATAATATTTTTTAAGGTTGTCTCACAAGTAGCAGAATAGTACTTAGACAAAACTAGGCAACAACTCCTGATACATAGCAAAACTACATTAAAATGAAAAAAACAGAACTACTTTCTCGGTCGTCCCTTCTTCCTCTTCCTGAAAAGTCTCCCTGTAATTTCATCACCACTAATTGCATCGGACTGTTGTTTTTTCCTTCCATAATCCCACAACAGAGATTCACACCTGGTGCAAAGTGTCTCAATGTGAAAATTATCTTTTCGAATTTCCTTACCCAGGATGAAATACTCAGCAAAGCCAGCAACAAAAGCACCACAATCACTATAATTAAAAAAAAAATTAGATTCTCTGTACGTTACTGTAAATAGGTACACAAATAGTAAAATAGTAAAATAACTGAGATTAACCTACCATTTGATCTGTTATGACACACTATTAACCAGATTAATCTGCAAAACATCAGAATGGGATTTATCGGTGTATGCACCATTGTTCCAATCAATGCCCTTCTTCTCAACATAAAAATCAGAACTCTTCAAGAAGTAAGGTATCAAAATTGCATAAGGTAATGCAACATCCAAATCAAGTCTATTATTAATAGCTCCACGGTTAGAGTCATAGATGTGGATGCACCTATGTATGAACGTAAACAACCCCAAAACCCAGTGGCCCAATTTTGCTCTTCCGCGCTTGACATAAATAGGGAATAAGACGTGGTCAACAGTGTACCACGCTACATTTGCATCATAATAATACCCTCTAATGTACTCTTCTATTTCATGCCCTTCAGGAATCAATGGATCAAAACTCTTTGGCCAATGGCATTGAAATCTTTATACAGTGATTTGATTTTGTTACTAAAGGCAAAGTCGGTTGTAGTAAACCGCATGGCAACATTCGGCCCATATTTTCCCCTCTTCCCCAAATAGTAAAAGAGGACATCCAAGTGCTGAGACAAGAAAAATAAAACAAAAATAACCATCACTACTAAATGATTCAAAGTACTACAAAAAAATCAATATATGATGCAGATCTTTTAAATATACAAATTTTTACACTATTATACAAAGTTATACATATTTATACAAGGTTATAAAATCTTATATCGTGATTATACAAAAATCTTGCATTTGATTATACAAAGTTATGTATACACTATGGGGGTCTCAAACAATAAAGATACGCAACCAATAAAAAAAGGCATTAGGACAAAAAGTTATTAAATATCGTGTCAATCAAAGGACGACCACAATACGCAAGTGAGTGGAACCAATCCTTCGTGGTCACATGACACGAGCCAAAAGTAAAAGCTTCCGCAAACTTATTTACTTCATCGGTATAAATATTTTTGGCTCTTCAAATCATAAAAAATAAAAATAATCAGAACTACCTTCATTGACAAGTATAAAATCAGAACATGAAAGCTTAAAGAAAATTAAGCTACCTTCGCCTCGTATCCATCCTATTATCAACAAACGCGCAAAACTCTTTGGCCAATGGCGACAAGGGATCAAAATCATCAATTTCGATCGTGAAAGGATGCTTGATATAAAAAATGAGCTTGTGCGCCGATCCTGATGCCCCCGAATCAAAAACTAGCAAATACGAAGATTTGACATATTTTCCTTGTATTTACTATCAAACCGACTGTTCAGGAGAAATGTAATCCTCTTCTACGTCTATGAAGGGTGGTCTACGAAGCACAATTTGGGACATTTGTAGCGCAACTAAATTTTTATCGCCAATGTCATCCCAAAATGTATCACCTTTGACATCATCTCCTGCCCCTTAGACAGAGAAAATCAATAAAGAAAAACTTTCAAAATGAAGAAAAAAGAAAAATCAGACAAAAAAGATAAAATGCAGAACGAATACCATGATCAACACCATCAGTAACTCCCCCGTTCGCTTTGAAACCTAAATCTGTTTGGTCAGCTAGCGTGTTATCTTGATTCACTTGCTCGACAAAGTCAGGAACAACATCATACTGATAGCCATCATATTCACCGAGACCAGATGTATTGTCATCAGACACGCACTGACGAATCTAATAAAAAAATAATAGAAAGAGAAGGCATAATTGTTGAGTGATGATTCAAAGAAGGCATAACTGTTGACTGATTTGGTTTTATCAGTAAAACATTACCTTAGAATCAGGAACCTCATCCCTCGTTTGCTTGGTTTCCTTCATATTCAGAAAACTAATCACTTTTTTAAAGGAAGAAACTACATAACTGTTGAGTGTCGTAACTGTATCAGTCAATTACAACAAAAAATAACAAAATAAATCAACAACCATGTTTATAACAAAAAAGTCATGTATATTCAAAAAGTACCGATAAACTACAGAAAAGCTAAAGCTGCAGTACCTTTCCAACCGCACTCAACTTCTCAACTTCAGCATTCAACAGATCAATGCTCGCCGAAGGATCATAACTCGGTTTAGGTTGTTGCTTCATATTCTGAGGATAAGGTCGTTTAGACTGTCGCTCCGTATTCTGAGGATAAGGTCGTTTAGACTGTTGCTTCATATTCTGAGGACAGGGTGGAGATGCAGAGACAAAATTATTAGTGTGAAAGGCAGGCATCTCCCCTGATGCAACATCATCGGCATTAACTTCAAAAAGCGTGGCGATGTTCAGTGTTGACATCTCTTCACGAGTAAGGGAAATGTTCCTATAGTTCAACTACAATAAGAAAAACTAGATTACAATAGTAGAAAAAGAAAATTGTGACATATTCATAATTATACATACTTACAGAAAAACTGAAATCATATATGAAGAAGTATTATGGTACAAAATGTTTACCTTGTCGATACTAGACATGATCACCCCGCCAGTCAAATCCGCATATGTTGGAGTTTCAGTGACTTTACAATTAAGAATGTGTGGCACATTTGTGCCAACGCGAACAACTAGATGCGTGTCAACCATACAACAACACTCAAAAAATCATATTTGTAATGCAAGTGACAGACCTCTGAGCCTATACATTGTCAAATGGTCACACTATCTGTCCCTCATTGTCTTTAAAATATCTTCAAATGACTTTTCCCCCCAAGCATACGTTTGATATTGACCACTTTTAATGATATCAAAATCATCTTTGTTGATACCATGATTATTGGCATCTGAGAATATGAAACGATGGACAAATATTATCAACGCCATCTTGAATGCATCTTCGTCCGACTTCCAGTCCTTTTTCTTGAAGCAATCAAGAAGGTGCTCTCTCGTTATAGCCCTTTTTCCATCTCCTGGAAAATACTCTTTTAGAAATCTATTGACATCTGGTTTGTCATAGATAGTGACGTCTTCTTCTACACACTTCAAACTAGTGATAACAGCAGACTCTCCAATGCCAAAACGTAGCAAACAACCATTAATTTTAACCCACAACTCTCTTTCCCGCCCTGGGACGACTTCCCTCAATAGTATACAATGAATAAGTTGATTTTGAATTTTAAATTAAGGCAGGTCCAAGAAGTAGCCAAAACAGCTAGCACGGAACATTTGAAGCTGTATGTCAGTCAAATATTGCCTCAAAATGCTGACAATATCAGTCTCTATGTGGGAACTAATCCTTTTGTGGAAATGATCAGCTGATTGTATATAGAAGTCTCCAACCTTGCACATAGAAAAACAACAAGAAAGAAATCAGGAACAAAAACTATACTAAAATATTGTATAAACATGTATAAATTAGTATAGCAGTACTTGTATAAAGATGTATAAACAACTGTTAAACGTTGTATAAAATTATATAAGGATGTATAAAATTAATAGCAACACAGGGAATACCTTCATCTTAGCTTTTTTCTCCTTCAATTTGTGGCGAATAGCAATCCTTTGTTCTTTGGATATGCAATCAAGACCACTCTCACCATCGTCCTCGATCTTGCTCTTTTTATGCTTAACGTCCTCGATCTTTATCTTTTTCGGTTTAACACTGGGACCTACATCATCTTCATCAACCAAATCAAATTTCAGCTTTTCTTTGGATTTTTCATGTCTCCCCTCTTATCCTTATTCTAACGATGTTAACTGAAGTAGGAGTATTCTTCGTTTGCGAATGAGTCATTCAACTGCTCTCTTGTTGCAACTTTTTTGTAAGAGCATGAGACTCAAAATCATCATCGTCGGGGGCCTGGACATGCCCATTTGCTTCAGAATCAGGGGTTGAGGGAAAGTCCCTCGATGTTTTAACTGGAGTAGGAGTATTTTTTGTTTGCGAACGAGTCATTCGATTGCTCTCTTGTTGGGACTATTTTGTAGGAGCAGGAGACTCAAAATTATCATCATCGGGGGCCTGGACATGCCCATTCGCTTCAGAATCAGGGCTTGAGGGCAAGTTCTTCAATATTTTCGCAAAATCGAGCTTAACACCTTTTCCAGCAACCTTCATACGACTTTTAGAAGCAGACATTTTCGAACGTATTTTCTACAATAAACTAAACAAATCTTTTACAAAAGCGAAGACAAGTGAAGGAAAACACAAAAATCAAACCAAAAACAAAGGCCATGAACACAAAGCAGAGGCCAATTTTCTCAAATTGTAACAAAACTTAAAAAATAAATTCTACCCTAAAAG